CTCCTGCATCTAGAATGGACTGATTGGGAAAGTACCTCCCCTTTAGCACTCGAGCAACCAAACTATGAGGAGTTTGCATTATACGCCATACTTGCTTGCCAAGTAAAGCTATATTAAAGCTCTCTAGATCTCTAAATCCCATTCCACCTTCTTCTTTTGGGAAGCTCAACCTGTCCCAACTTAACCAATGCATTCCTCGGGCTCCTTTACTTTTACTCCACCAAAACTCAGCCAGTAGTTTATTGATCTCGTCATAAATTCCAACAGGCAGCTTGAAAATATTCATTGTGAACACTGGAAGTGCCATAGCTACGGTCTTTATCAAAATTTCCTTCCCAGCATCTGTTAAATATTTGAAAGACCACCCTTTCGTTCTCTGTTCTACCTTTTCAAGTATATACTTGAAGATTTCCTTTTTATTTCTCCCAATCTGCTCAGGTAATCCTAGGTATTTACCATTGCCACCATCATTATGAATCTGCAGAATATCTCTCAGCCTAGTTTTGACTGTATCTTGAACTTTACTCCCAAAGGTGATGGCTGATTTGTTGTAATTGACTGCTTGACCAGAAACCAACTCATAAGAAGAGAGAATTGACTTCAAAGTTCCACAGGAACGAGGATGAGCATGACAGAAAAATAACGCGTCATCTGCAAACAACAGATGATTAACAGAAGGTCCTGTGGTACTTATCTTCATTCCCTTCAATCTATTCTGTGTAGTAGCATTTGTGAGTAGATGACTGAGTACCTCACTACATAGAATAAATAAATATGGAGAGAGTGGGTCTCCTTGTCTTATTCCTCTCTGTGGGATAATATTTCCTCTCGGTTGCCCATTGATCAAAGTAGAGAATGTGACTGTTTCAACACACTGCATGATCCACTCGATCCAGATAGACGAAAAACCCATATGGACCATTGTATCACGGAGAAAGCTCCATTCCAGGCGATCGTAAGCTTTTGCAATGTCTGTTTTGACAGTCATATAAGATTTAGACCAACGTTTCCTGCTTTTAAGTGAGTGTAGCATTTCCTGGCCAATGATGATATTATCTTGAATATTCCTTCCAGGTATAAATGCCACTTGATTCTCTGAGATTATAGAAGATAGGTGTGTTTGTAGTCTTCCCACCAAGATTTTGGAAATGATTTTATAGCTTACATTACATAAAGCTATAGGTCTGAAGTCACTTAGTGATCGGGGAACTTCAATCTTTGGTATGAGACATATATTGGTTCGGTTGTGTATAGGATCTAACCGCCTTTCATGGAAGAACTTCTTCACTTCTGCAATAATGGTATCTTTGATTGTTGGCCAGAACTGTTGATAAAAAGCACCCGTGAATCCATCTGGCCCCGGTGCTCTGTCTGCTCCTATATCAAACACTGCTTTCTTTATTTCTTCCTCAGTAACTTCTCTAGTTAAATCTGCATTGATCTCTGATGTTACTCTCCCTTGAAAGTTCTGAAAAACAGAATGATAATCTGTTATATCATCTCGAGTTGTGGAAAAAAGACCAGTGAAGTAGTCTTCAGCCGCTGCCCCAATATTTGCATCTCCTCGGTGAATACCATTATCATCCTCTACTGCCAATATTTTATTCCTTGCTATCCTTGTCTTTGCAGAAGCATAGAAAAATTTTGTATGTCTATCTCCTGCAGTTAACCACTGATTTCTGCTCTTAAGCCTCCAGTATTCTTCTTCCTCATGATAAGCTTCATTAAGGTTGTTTCGCACTTGCCTTATCTCCTCCGTAGTATAATGATCAGACGACATTGCATAATCTAATTCTTCTGTAAACTGGGCAATGCGTACTGCTGCATTGGTACGGTTCCTAGATTTCCATTTTGACATGGACACTCGACAGTCATGAAGTTTGTTATGCAGGGATGTACTTGTCGGGTGTCTACTCCAACTCTGAGCCACTGTATTTTGAAAACCATCCTTATTGAAGAGTCTCTTATCATAGCAGAAAAATCTTTTCCTTTCCTCGCTCTGTTGAGAATTCTTAATAATAAGAGGTCTATGATCTGAAGCTTCAAATGCAAGAAACTCAACTTGTGCAGCAGGGTAAAGTGCTAGCCATTCTGAATTTGCCATTGCCCGATCCAAACAGCACTTGACATCATAAGTATATCGTTTCCCTGACCATGTAAACCGATTGCCAACCGCCTTCAGATCAGCAAAGTTACATGCTGTAATCATTTGTCTGAAATCCAGAAAAGTCCTCTCAGGTCGTGCTGGACCTCCTGTTTTCTCTGAGTTATCTCTTATCTCATTAAAGTCTCCGGTTATTAGCCAAGGACTTTGTCTTCTCACTGCAATTCTTTGTAACTGTTCCCATAAGTTGTTTCTAAACGCTGGATCAGGGTGACCGTAAGCAAAAGACAAGTAGAAAGCTTCTTCATTCATATTGACAAAACAATCTACAAGATTAGGAGACTGGAAATCAACTGAAACAGATACATACTTCTTCCACATAACCGCTATAGTTATCTGGAAGGTTAAAAAAAAAAGTAGAAGGTCAACCTGAGGACTTTGTGGCAACGCTGACCGAAGGGGTGGGGAAGAAAGGTGGTGACGGTTTTGACCAGAAAAAATGTGAATGTTGCAGTGCGTTTGTACTTAGCCCACACGGACGTTGCTTTCCTTCTCGTCGTCTTGTTAATCTATGTTTTTGGAGTCATCTTTTGAGATATATCTAAATAGGTAAATATCATACGATAGTATTAACAGAATTTAATCACAAAATAGTTTATCATGACCAAAGTGATCAAAAGAAATTTTACTAATGAGATAAAATACATTTATATTCTTATGATGATTAACTAATCTAAACTTATATTTAAAATTTAAAAGTGTGGATTTAATGTTAGAGGATATGGCTTATAATTCAAGATTTAGGGTGTAAATTTGAAATAATAAAACAAAAATATTTTCGGGAAATTTTTTTAAAAAGAAATTCGAAAAATTAAAACAAAATGAAAATATTTTTTTTTTTTGAAAAATATTCCGAATATTTTTCTAAAAGCAAAGTCACTTTTTATTTTCTAATATCTTTTAAAATATTTATCACATATGTATACACATATATATACATATATTAATATACAAATGTTGTTTATTTATTTAATAAAACTTTTTGATACTTTTCTTCATTATGTGTTTTCAGTCATAAAAATATTTTTAAATCTTTTTGAGAGATTTGTCCATTTAAATATTATGTACGTTATAGTTTTATGAAGTGTACATTAAACATACATTTTTCAACTACTGGTTGCATTAATATAATTTTGTGGTTTATTTAATTATTTTTGCTACATCCTTCCACTAATCCAAGAATGAGTTTGGTTAACAAGTCAAAACCGAACCGACAATAGTAGTAAAAATCTATATCGAAACCAGATTTTAATCACATAGAGAACCCAAAATAATCCTAGATGAAAATCCTAAGAAAAACTTGAGCAGCAATGCCACCGCCGCCTAACAACACCGAAAATACACAACAAGAAAACTTTTATAATTCTCAAACAAAAAAAAATAAACTTTGAAATACCATATGATATGTAGTGCACAAAAAAAAAGAAATACCAAATGATACAAACTATCACTTTGGCCCTAGATTCCCTTCACTATCTGAGTTTCATTTTAATTATATGTTATGGGTGCATGTTCTTTTTATACACACATGGGCAGATTGAAATGTATACACATGATTTTGGGCCTACCAAATAGTGCCTGAAAATTAATAGAATCTTTGATGCATATTCCAAGAAGAAAGGTTTGTCTATGTGTATAATTTTTTTGTGCCATAAATCATGCATACATCTTGAATGATTAAGGTATCATACAGTATTCGTCATGTTTGTTTTCTAGGATATTTAAACGGCATCTATGTATGGGTTGGGACCATCGGGTACATGAAATAATGTTAATTAATTATCCATTTTATATTGCATCATATGAGCTCACGATTAAATGCGCATACAAAGATAACTTTGTTCTTGGCTCATGAAATGATGTATTCTGAAAACTTTTGTAATAAATACTTAATTAGGCGATGCAAAAGTCCTTTAACCCAAAAGAGATATAGTTTAAAAAATTAGTGGAGATATATTCTTCTGATTATATATGATAAATAATAATTAATTTGTTAGTGGGTACTTATTTAGGGCACAAGGGTCAAGAAGGTCTCTCTATCTTTCCCATCTGCTCTAGTGGCAAGTTCAGTGACCCGGTCAACAATTTACTGTCTTACCACTTTTTGACTCCTGTGTTGGAGTTTTGCACGATTGATGGTATTTGCATGAGCGAGTCCGGCTGGTCTCATGGAGTTTTTTACATATGGAATATCCAAATATAAAACTTTAACAGTTTTTTACAAATAAAATCAGTAAATCAAAATCAGTGACCGCATACAACAATAGTTATTGCAAAATAGTAATTATGATAAAGGGGAATGGAAAAAATGTTTCTGTTATGCGAATGGATAATAATTAAAAATATGCAAGAACACGAAGTTTAGCAAGTTTTGATGGTTACTTAAATTTGTAGCAACGGTGGGGTGGCAGAAGCCCGAAGACTGAAAAACAGTAAGTGTTCTGGAAACATCATGGCTGGTTAAAAACATAATTCAAACTATCTTCAATGTAGAAGACATCCACCAAGTCTGGATAGCTATATATATATCTGCTCCAGCGCCAGGCTCTTTAATTTCCCTCATTGTGATGGTCAGAGGGTACGAGAAACCTTTTCTCGACGGTTTGTTTATAAAAAATGGATTCCGTATGAACAAAAAGAAAGCCGGCAACCGTCTAAACATTCATTCACGCGTTAATATTAACTAAAAACAAAAGTTTCAAGCAGATCGAGGTACACAAGTAGACAGAAGAAATTGTTGGGTAATTCCAAGCTTGTGGAAACTTAACATATTATTGGATGTTTAATATGTTAAGGATAAACACAATAAGGAAATCTAGAAATAGGAAAAGGAAGTTTTCTATTAGAAATAGGAAATGTATAACATCGAAACGTAACAGTAGCTGCTAGGCTACCATCGGACTGTAGTTGGAAACACATAATTAAAGAAGCTACATATATATATATGTATGATGATATATAGAGAAGGGAGAATGATGTATATGGTCATGATAAGTCACTTGATGTGCGAAAAGGGTTAAACCCGAAAGCCTCCACTGCGTGGGCAACCTCCGAGGACATCCACTGAGATGGAGACGACCACTCTTCTGCTTTATCAGGTAACATCATCATCATGTTTTCATCTTTTAGATTCTGACTTTGGTTCTGATGTTGATGGATGGAGGAGTCTGGGTGATCAAATCGGATCATGTGGGAATCCTGGGGATCAGAGGTGTCAATAGGGAAAGTTGCATAGGCTTGGTGAAGTTGGCATGTGTGGTGGCCGAAGTAAGTGGTTGAGTATAACGGAGGACTGTGTTGGATCATCTGAACCTGCTTCTTTGCTTCACAATTCTGGTCTTTTGTGTACGCACACTTGTAGTAGCTCCTGCCATTTCATCATTCCTTTGTTTTTTGTAAAAAAAATTAAAACCACTAAATACATATATACAGTATATAGGTGTGAATGTGAATGATATATATATATATATATACCTTTGGTGATTTGATTCTTTGATCTGCTTTTGTCCGTATTTTCTCCAGAGAAAGCCATCATGGTAGATCGGGTTCGGGGATTCGTGTCTACGGTAGTCTGAGCTCTCTGCCACTGATGTCTTTCTGCAATCATCAAGTTTATTCATGATTGCTGAACATCATTCATTCAACCATTCTTTAGTATTCCAATTGATTAATATATATATATATACCTTCCCCTCTTGTGAAATGGTTTCCTGCTGTTCTCAAGAACAGGAGATGCATCCTGAGGAGATGAGTTATTGGATTGGTCATCTTGATGATGATGATCGTTAGTATCGATCAGGATGGCTAGAGCATCCGAGAAACAATGGAGGACGGACTTGGCCAGATCCTCCCTTTCAATGGACGAGTCTGACTTGGCGTGGTGGTCCATGATGAGCTTGAGCTGGTTGGCACACCCATGGCCGTGAAGCAGCGTCTCCATAGCCTTTTGCTGGCAAGAGGTCATCTTTTGTGGTGTGACTTGAGCGATCTTCTCTACGTTTTTAGCAAATCCCAGATATTTAACTAGGAGATGTGATGGGTCTCTTCGAATATTGTTGTGCGAAGTTTCCTATATATATAATGTAATTAGGAACTGTGTATGTGGCCCTTGAGATAACCCCACGGTATAAAGACAAAACCAGCGAGCATTACTAATTGACTAACTAACAGCTCTATTAGTTTTAAGTATAAAGTAAACACTTACATATATAAACTCATTATCTTAGATTCATCATGTCTTTTTTGTTTTTGTTTTTGGACATCAAATTTATTTTACTGCATCTTGTTCTCTTTTCAGTCAAGTGGTTTCTTCTACCTTCAGATAAAATCAGTAACATCCCTTACTAGTTAAGAAAATTTACTGTCCCGTCTAGAATGCATATAATTTGACTTCTTCATGATTATTCAAGAAAAAAAAAAACATAGAGAACAAAAGGTAGGTTTGTTGATCCAAATTTGAGTTAATTATCACACATCGTTGAGAGTGAAGTTGTAGATCTCTGACAATGGGACGGGTCCAGAGTCATGTGGCACCGCACCTAAGCAGATGGAACGCCTAGTATATGGGCGTAGAAAACGGAGGAGCCAATTTAAACGCCGTTAGTAAATGAGCTCCGTCAAAAGTGACGTAGGGTACATGAGCTCATCCTACCGTACGTCATGGAAGGTTGAATTATGGATGACAGATCACTATAATGCATTAATCTTAATTTAATCTCATCATTGATTAATCCAACGAAGGAGATCAAACGCTGCAAAAGGTATTTGTTATAAAATAAGCGAAATTTGCATGTGCTCCTTAATTGGATTTCAACTTATGTTCTTTCTTGTAAATATGTCTACATCTACTACGTAATAGTGTGATACTATAACTTACACCCGTTGATTTTGATGTAGTTCAACTTTATACATAGCTATTAGTTGAACTACATCAAAATCATATTTAAGTATCGTTTGCTTCTGCTTCAATATCGGCGGCTGACCATATTAGGTTGCGACTTTCGTATGACTATCACAATTTGTTATTTTATAGATAACTTTCATTTGCCAAAGCAATTTTATTATTGTTGTTTTCTTTTATCTTTTGGAACAATTTATTATTGTTGTTTCTAATACGTAAATTTAAGTGTTTATCAATAAATATTAAATGGTGAAGACCTAACCTTGGTCGCTACCCCGTCTTAATGGTGTGGTGTTTCTTAGAAGATACTATAATAGCTGGGTTTACAAAAGGAAAACATGCTCCCTCGAAATCATGATGTTGATAAGATCCTTTAAATCATAAGAACCAGAGTAAATAAGATCCTTTAAATTTCCATAGGCACATCACCAATTATCTACTAAAATATATTAATTGCCAATTAAACATTATTTGCCTTGTTGACGGCTTTCCATGTGATATAAAAGGAAAATTATATGCATGTTTTAAAAACCTATAAACATTAAAAACGATTTTTTTCTTCTTATTATATGATGGCATGACTCATGATAATTGGAAAGAGTAGCCTGTTACAACCAACTTTGGCTCGAAGCAAATCTACAAACCGCAAGCATCATAAAAAACTACACATTCACCAAAAGGGGAAAGCCAACACCCATAATTCTCTAGTCAAAAAGACATACAAACGTAGGAGGAGGAATACATTAAAGAGGTTTTTTTGTGAAATAATAAAAATAATAATAATTAATTTGTAGAGAGAAGGTTAGAGAGAGATAGGAAGAAAGAAGAAGAGAGAGAATAAGGTTCTGGTGTATTTGTCTTTTTTTTTTGTTTGTATACTTGGCCTAATTTCCCTATCTTAAAAGACCTCCATTTTTCACCAGCAAAAAGTCACGTGTATCCAAGCAGAATGTCCAATAGCGACATACGATCGAAAACAGTTTTCCAGTGTAACATTTTAGACGATGAGAAACACTCCTCTAGCTGATGTTCATGTATCTAGTACAATACTAACATTTTACATTGGTCAGTCTCTCCAATTTCTTTCTCTATTTGGCTAGGTCTCGGATTAGACAACACCGATTCAAAACTTTACTTACATTGCATATGTTGTAATCGATCTTCTTCAGTTAATGTAATGATTTGCCTAGTTTTTTTTTTCTTTTTGATGCAGAACATAGCAATGATAGACAAGAGTTTCTCAAGCTCTGCAAGAGAATTGAATACACTGTCCGAGCTTGGTATAATCTTCAATTTGAAGATTTGATGGTGTTTACCCTCTTTCCTCCTATTTTCTTCTTCTTAAAAACGTGTTTGCATTTTCTTGTTGTTCTCATCCTGTTTTTCAATCTGCAGCAACTCTACTCTCTTTTTGATCCTGTATCCGGTGCTTAGAAACTCCAGCAGCAGAACCTAACTTCTCAGGAAATTGATGTGCTTGAACAGAATTTCCTCGCTTACTTGTTTCAGGTATTTAGCTTGTTTTTGTCCTTGTGTTATTGTAGTCTGTCCGTGTTCTTGAATGTTTGTCCTTTTCCTTTCACAAGGTCATGGACAAGAGCAACTTTAAAATAACAACAGATGATGAGATCGAGGTTGCACGCTCTGGCTAGTATCTTCTGAATCTCCCCATCAAAGTTGACGAGTCAAAGGTTTAATCTGAGAACCAATTAGCCCCACATTAAATATTTTGACTCTTCTCTTTCAACCAGTTTTCTTGCTTTGGTGTGTGAAGCTTGACAAGAAGCTACTCAAGAGATATTTTGAGAAGCACCCACATGAAAATCTTCCAGACTTTTCTGATAATGTACTGTTTCAGTTTCGTAGACTTATAATACCAAGAATTATAGTTTCATATGCCTTTCTTTACCGATGTGCTAACAAATACATAAATTGTGTTTTTTCCAATTTTGTAGTATGTCATCTTCAGGCGTGGTATTGGCATGGACAAAACCACAGATTTCTTTTTTCATGGAGAAATTAGATGTGATCATTTCACGTATTTTGGCATGTTTCATGAAAATCAATTGGTAAGCGCAAGTTATCTTTGAGTTACTAAATGACACTTCTCAATCTTTGAGTCTTAACCTCCTTCTTGTTCTCAATTTTTACCTCCGCATTGGATCACAGATTCACAGGTTAGATAAGTTACGTGCCAATCGGTCAAGCAGACATCAAAAGAAAGATCCTAAAAAAGATGATGAGACAAACCCTGAAGAAGATGATGAGGACTTGTATGTGGAGCGTATTTGCTTTGAGAATACACGGTTGAGGTATCCCTTGCTTGCTGTGATTCTCTTTCCACCCAACTTGGGATATTCTGGAAATTGTATATATAATAATTAATGGATTTTCTCTTGATGAAATTCAGCTTCAAGAGTTTCTTGAGCAAGCTCACCATACAAGAGCCTACATTTGATAAAATGATTGTTGTTTATAGGTAAGGTTTATGTCTGTCCATTTGTGAATTTGTGGTTCAAGAAGGATGTGGTTACAGGCGAGCCAGCTCTAAAACAAATCTAGAACGAGGAATATACGTCAAGCATTTCAAAAACATTCCTATGCCCGACATGGAGATTGTGCTTGTAATAAGTTTCTGTTCCTGCCTTTCTTTCTCGATGCAAGTTGTGTGTTTATAGCAATAACATTTACTTCTTTTGCAGCCTGAGAAAATAAATCCTGGACTGACTCCAATGGATGTGGAAGCAAAGATAAGATCTCACTCAGTAGTTCATCTGGTAAGCTTACTACTGAATAAATCTCTACCACTAACTTTCAACCTTTTTGGGAGCCATACCCACTCAAGATTTACCTGCAAAGCTCTTATATAAAAGTTGGACAGCTTTTTTTTTTTTTTTTTTTTTTAAAAAAAAAAAAAAAAAAAGTTGGACAGCTTTAACAAACGTGATTAATCTAAGAAATTTTTAAAAGCATCAAAACCTTGAAATAGAGTGTTTATAAAAATTAAACAACACTAAAGAGTATAAGCTTTGGTATATAGAGTATTTAACAAAAAAAAAATCAATATGTTCGACCCATAGATTTTGAGAAAAATTCAAAAATATGAAAATTTGATTTTAATGCATAGTTGCATCTTTCACTTCATAGGATGATGGTCAAAGAGGTTTAAAACCTTTGTTGTCTCCGTTTCTCTAGAGAATAGAGATTCATAATGGTTAATCCACTAATTTAGGCAGTGTATGAAAATTTATTAAATTAATCGTTAACAAAACTAGAACAATGTCAATGTTCAACGTAAGATAGTTTAGATTACATTAGTGTAAATGTAGAATGTGGTTTGGTAATTTAAGACAAATCCAGATAGTATGAGCTTCACTATATAAAACAGTTAGAAAACTAAAATGTTTTGTAATGTAACCTACAGATTTTGAGTAAATTAAGAAATATGAAAATTTGGTTTTATTTCTTAATTGCATCATGCACTTACATAAGATGATGGTCAAAGAGGTTTGAAACTTTTTTTTGTCTCTTTTTATCCAGAATAGATATTTCTTAGTGTTTAAACCATTGATGTAAGTAATATATGAAATTTTAATAAATTAATTGTTAAATAATTAGAACGATGTCCATTTATCATGAATGAGTGTTTAGAATACATTAATACAAGTATTAAAATATGATTTGGGATTTTTAAACATCACTAAAGAGTACAAGTCTCAGTATATAGAGCATTGACCAAAAAAACTAAATATTTCTGTTCGGGTTAACACTGCAGATTTTTTTACAAAATTAAAAATATGAAAATATTATTTTAATGCATAGTTGCATCATGTAATGACAAATAATGATGGTCAAAGATTGTTAGAACCTCTGTTATCTCTGCTTCTTTAGAAAATAAAGATTTCATAATGGTGAATAAAATATTTTATTTAAGTAGTGTATGAAGTTTTATTAAATTAATTGTTAAAAATTTAAAAAAATGTCTGCATACCATGAAATATAGTAGCATACATTAATACGAATAAAGAACATGGTTATAAAATTTCAAATAACACTAAAGAGTGTAAGCTTTGGTATATAGAGCATTTGGTTTTTATGCATAGTTGTATCGTTCACTGGCATAGGATGATGGTCAAATAGGTTTTGAATTTTTGTATTTGTTTCTATAGAGAATAAAAATTCATAATGGTTAATCCACTAATTAAGGCAGTATATGAAATTTTATTAAATTAATTGTTAATAAAACTAGAACGATGTCCGTGTACAACATAAGATAGTTTATATTACATTAAGGTAAATTTAGAATGTTTTGATAATTTTAAACAACACTAGATAGTATGAAATTCACTATATAAAGCAGTAGAAAAACTATAACTTTTCGTAATGGTTACCCACAGATTTTGAGAAAAATTCAGAAATATTAAAATCTGGTTTTAGTTCGTAATTGCATCATGAACTTACATAAATTATGGCCAAAGAGTCTTAGAACATTTGTAGTCTCTGTTTATCCAGAAAATAGATATTTCTTAGTGTTGAAACCATTGATGTAGGTAATATATGAAGTTTTAATAAATTAATTGTTAAACAATTGGAACGATGTACATTTATCATGAATCTGTTTAGCATACTTTAATACAGATAATAAAATATGGTTTCGGATTTTTAAACATCACTAAAGAGTACAATTCTCAGTATATAGAGTATTTACCGAAAACTAAATACTTTCGTTGAGGTTAACCCACAAATTTTTTTAAAAGTTAAAAATTATGAAAATATTGTTTTAACGCATAGTTGTATCATGTAGTTACATATGATGATGGTCAAAGATGTTTATAACCTATATTGTCTCTGCTTCTCTAGATAACAAAGATTTCATAATGGTTAATCGACTAATTAATTTAAGTAGTGTTAGAAGTTTTATTAAATCTATTGTTAAAAAATAAAACAATGTCCGTGTACCATGTAAAAAGTTTAGCATACATTAATACAAATATAAAACATGCTTATCAAATTTTAAACAACAATACCTATTATATTTCGGCTTTATGAATTCTCTTTGGAGCCCATTCTACAGAGGCACACAGAAGGTTAATAATTTTGATAGGAAATTAAAAAAATAAAGAAATAGAGATTAGTCTGGAATCAAACTCTCACAGATTACCCTTCAAGTCTTCAAACTACTGGAGCAATTAGTAGTAGAGGTAATAATTGTTAGTGGCCCTCACTCTCACCTATAAGAACCTCTATTGTTTTTTTTGTTGATTGGGGTGAAAGAATGACAAAAATGTCCCAGAAACCAGAGTCGATGGGTTTTGCTCTCGCTATACTTTTAAGTTATACAAAAGATTTCGTCTCCAAAAAAGACAACTAAAAGTTCTTTAGAGCAGAGTAAGTAATAGCTAGCTGCTTAGTCAAACAAGCCGAAACCCAAATCTCCATCACTCTCTTCCGCCACTTCTTCCTGCAACCACCAAAATATATATTCCAGCAAAATCACATCAAAAAAACCAAAAGAAGGCTTAGTTACAATACAAAGACAATAACAAAAAGAAGGGTCAAACTAATTGTTTCTTCTTGTACCTTCTTCTTCTCGTCGGCGGCAGGTGCAGCAGCCGCAGAACCAGCAGGGGCTGCAAGAGGTGCACAACCTCCGCCGCCACCAGCACCAACGTTCATGATGAGATCAGTAACGTTACGTTTATCGGCCATCTTGGCAAATAGCATTGGCCAGTATGACTCACAACTAACACCAGCAGATTTGACCAAAGTAGCGATCTTGTCGGCCTAACAATATCTCAAAAAGTTAAAAGAGAATAATAGATGGTTGATAAAAAAATCAAACCACAACCCTCGAGAAAAGATCAGATAAATGTTGACAACAAGCATTTGAACCAAATATAGGAAATGGAATTTAAAAAGAGAGAGAGAATACAAACCGTGATGGCAATACCCTCGTCCTCGAGGATCATAACAGCGTAGCTGCAAGCAAGCTCTCCCACTGTCGACATTTCTTTCTCTCTGAAACCACAGCCGATTAATCACCTATCTCGTCTCTAAATTCCAAATCCTAACGAAACAACAAAAATAAAAATCCTAAGAAACATCAAAATTTTAAATGGAATATTATTTAGAAAACAAGAAGGACTCATAAGATAGAGAGAGAGAGAGACGCAGGATTACATCATCATGTACCTAGGGATGTTAATAATGGGTTTTTACCCATAGGGTACCCGAAACCCGATTAAAATTTGAAACCCGAAAACCGTATGTTTAGATTTTAATTTTCGCGGGTTTTTATTGGGCGGGTCTTGTGTTGGTAATTACCCTAACGGGTTTACACTGTTGGGTTTCGGGTACCCTATGGGTTTTAAAAAAAAAAAAAAAAATTAACCAAAACGACGTCGTTTAACGTTTTACTTTACCCTAAAAATTTTATCTCCCGTGACCACAGCCACAAACCGTAGAACTCTCTATCAGGCCTCCTTTCTTGCGGCGATTCATTCTAAATCGAGTTTCAAAGATCATAGCTTCAAGTTCATTCGAATCTCCATCTCCAGATTTGGTTCTTAGTACCCTTCTGCTTCAAGTTCTTAGTACTCTGTTTTTTCTTCTTTTTTTTCGTCTGTTATATGTTTACCTGATTAGGGTTTCTTTTGATTTTATTCTCAACCATTGGTTTATACTTATATAAACTTTCTGGTGGTTTGTTGATCTCCATTGGTTTATATTTATATAAATTTGCGGTGGTTATTGGTCTCTTTTGAAATATTTATTTTATCTCTCTCTGTGGTTTGTTGATCTCCAGAAAGATAGAGATGGTACGTGGTGTGTTATATAGGTTGATTGTTTATTATTGTACCCTTACTTGGTGACAAGTTCTAGTTAAAAGAAAGTTGATGTTTTACTTTTTTTTTTTTAAGTTGGTGTTCTAGTTTAAAATTAAAACGAAAGTTGGTGACATTGATATTTTCCATATGTGGTTCATTAATTAGCAGTTTCGTGTATGTTCCTGAGTAAAAACGAAACCATGTGTACCAAAGTCTGTCTGCATATATTGTCCACCCATCGAGAAAACATTTGATTAATGATTTTCTACAATTGGCTG